TAAGCAATAATGCACCAGGACGAATCCTATGTAGAACATAGGTCCCCAATAAAATATTTGTTGTTGTATATTTGATGCTGACGCATTTGTCAGGATTTATATTTGCATATTGTAATATTGAAGAAGGAGGAGTACACGCCATTGTGAGGGAAATTCATATTGAAGATAAAGCTAGTTATTATATTGTCACTTTATAGAGAAGGAGTATGCAAATACGACTAGATAAGTGTACAAAAGGCACCTAACATGTTAGAAAGAATTTATGAAAAATGATAATAATAAAAAACTAAACACACAACACCATTCGAACAAAACCAACAACCACATACTCGTATATACCATTGTTTCAGGCTATGGCCCTCATCAGTACAGGAGTGGCTTCGATTTTATAATATTTTACGAGAGGGGTTATCAAATCTATCAAATTTACAAAATTCAATTTTTTGTTACAATTTTTCCTAAATAACCATATATGAGAAAAAATTTCAAATATCAATAAAGAAAACCTTATTTGATTATATAGGTGTAAATTCGAAACTATTATAGACGCGTATGATTCTTTAGAAAATTAAACAATATCTACTGCCCTTACTGCAATGGAAAATTAATGGGAGGGCCTGGCTCATCAGTGGTGAACCCTCCCAGCGGTTTCGCCAGTTTAATCTACCATACTGCTGTTACATTATATTTTTCGGTTTTTCTTTTATAATGATATTGATGCTAGACAGAAGGCTCGCTAATGCATCATAATAGGTGTAAATAAGAAATATTTTTAAAAATAAGACCAGACACACCATATTGTGCGTGGACCAAGGCGATGTCCTACCACCAGACTATGACAATGGATTGATTACCTTAGAGGAGGCATTCAGTATTTGGATTAATTCATCTAAAATAAAATTAAACGCATACTTACCATTTTCTTTTTTCTGTTCTTTTCTTTTAATCAAATTCATTCCTTCACCTGCAAACAAATAAAATGTTTGTGTGTTATAATATTGAAATATAAATACAGACATGACATATATTGTTTTAAAGAATATCTATGTCTTCTTCTTCTTTCTTACTTATCCCTAGTACACGTGATACAGGCCATGATAATCATGGTGGGTAGAGGTAGGCGACTGCTTTTACTGTAAGTGCACCACATGTCTACACATGTGAAAAGCAGTTCGACTTTGCACTTACAAATGTGCCAGAACCCTGTTTTGTTACTTGCACTTGCTGGTTGGGTTGAACTTTTGCAAGAATCGGGGGCCATTGGAGCATTTTCTTTTTTTTTTTTTTTTTTTTTTTTGTAAATCAGAAAAAAGTGCACAACGCGGGAATCGAACCCGGGTCGTAGCGGTCGAAATCCAACGGACCATCCTTCCATCTACCCCCGTGAGTAACTTTGTAATGTGCATAGCTCTTATGTAAATATACACGACGAAATTTGAGCTTGTGTGGGTTGTCGTATGCAATGTTTGTTATTCAATACTTTATAATATTATTTTAAGATGTTATCTTGAGACACAATTCAGGATTAAAATAGAGAAAGAGCACTGAGAAAGATCTGTGCGTTGACTGAGAGTTTAATACATACACCCACAGAAAACACATCTCTAACAAATCAACTTACACACGTGCAACTTCATTAATAAGTACAAGTAACCAAACTGGACTTAGACATTTTGCAGCTATTTGTGGACACAGGGAAATCTTACAAAAATCGTAATGAAATCAAAACACGCTTTAAGTTATTAGATTTTAACATATACATTTACAGGCAAATATGTAGGTAATATAAATACAGAAATAATATGTAAATAAATATTCAAAACTTCAACAAAACCTGACGGATGGCATTTTTACCCATGTTGGAGAATAAGGCTCCTAACCAATATTTCTGGATACTTTTCTTACTACATTACAGAGATATAAGGGGAATAAAATAATTGACAAATATGAAAAATCCAATCATCAAAATTATAATTTATTTAAGCTCTCTATCAAATCCTGCATAAACTCCGAAAGCCAACAAAAGTAATAGATTTTATAAATATATTTGTAGGATGGTTGTTGCGTGAAGTGTTGGTGTGGCTTGTGGAAAGGCTGCTGATAAAATTATAATTAAAATTAATTTATTTAAAGCAAGAAATTATAAAGAGAAAAGAAGCAACGGTTGAAGTAACGGCCGTCGGCTCTAGCCTTGTTGTTTACCGCGTGAGTGCCAGATCAAGTGTCGGCAGCGCCAGCCGCTAGAAAGTTCCGGATGACGCCCGCGCATGCGTAGTGAAGTGCTCTCCAAACACGTGCTAGCCGAGGCATAGTGGGGCCGCCATTTTTCTGCCTGTATGTGTTTTGAAGCTTTGTCCCAGTTCGCTGAAGCAAAGTGCGGTCGCCACATATTTATAAAGAATTATATAAATGAATGTGAGAAAAAGGACATCTCCTAATCGTGCAACTAAAAGTTGCTGATGGCTTGCGTCATCTATCGGAATAAATATCAACTAATCGTTGATTTTTAATCATTCCAGATTTTAGTTGTACGATCAGGAAATGTCCTTTTTCTTAATTTATCCACCTGATCCAAGTAAAAATCACTTTTGTACTATTTTTAATAAAATAATGTGTAACCATATATAGTGTAGCTTGTAAAATTTATCCTTCTATTTAAAAATATAACAATCGCTCTATCATAACGCTTGTATATATAAACTTTGTATAAATTCAATATGATATTGTATCTCAATGTTTATCATTATATTCGCAGAATATGAATATTGGAATAAAGTAATGTAATTTAAAATGCGAGTCAAAGTCAGCAGTTATCCTGTAAACATAGACAATATAGATGGATACAACATAATAGAGATATATCCAAAGAAAGGATCAATAGTGTGGCCCACCACTGGTATGTAAGACCTGGAGACTCAATCACAGCTTTCTAGAAACGAAGCCACAAAAATTTCAAGATTAAATACAGGACATACTAGACCCATTATGTTCATTGACGGAGAAAAAAAAGTTTTTCCTGTCTGTTCAAAATGCTCCAACTCCACTGCAACTCCAGCACATATCCTGGACTGTATTAGAGCTAAGACCTATACAAGAATCCCAAAACTATAGCAGAAAAAATTATTGATTTTAACCTTATAATGACCTGGTGTAATCTTACCCATGAGATAAAAAAGTGAGTTATATTGAGATAAAATACAAGAAAGAGTACGATTTTTGAAAATAAAACAATTTTCTACTTCCCTCACGCGGCAATGATAAATAAATAATTTTATTTAAAAGACTCATACGTGTGTCATAAATAGTTCAAATTTACGATAACAGATGGCGCGGTATAGCATCATGTTTATAACAAGAGAGGGTATATCCTATATATAGTGTTCTTCATTGTTCCAGACTTAGGGAAGAAAGACAAAATGCCTCATTTATCCCTATCACTGAAACAGGTAGAAGACATACAAGCTTCTCTCTGAGTCGTTGACCAATGGGAACGCTAAGTATAAAGCAATAACGCGCCATCTGTATTTAGGAAATGAAAACAATAAAGCACGAATGCTAATTTTACACATAAAACAAACTTCTACTCTCCTTACTACGATGTAAAAATATTGGGAGGGCTTGACTCATCAGTGGTGAACCCTCCCAGCGGTTTCACCAATTTAATCTACCAGACCGCACTTCTTTGAGCTCTAATACTGTATTGGACGATTCTGCTTATATATGCTACAGTGAAGAGTGGAATTTTAGAAATGATGAGAAAAGTCCTTCCAATATTTTTTAATCGCAGTAAGGACAGTAGAAGTTTATTTTATATTTAAAAGAAACATTCATGCTTAAATGATTTAATTTCCAATTAGAACGTTGTTTACTTGTTCTATCAGTTCGGCAGAAACTGAGAATATTGTTAGAAAATAAAACTAAGATGATTGAAACAACACGCTGTCTGTTATACCCATCCACCAGTATTGTATATAGTTGACTAGCCGAATGACCCGGGCAACGCCCGGGTTTTACCCGATTAAATGTTTTCATTCAAATACTATTCGTTACAATTATAAATTGGCACCGTGGATGTCACTTTTGTGAAACGTCCCGCTCCAAACTTTGTGTTTTTAAAATATAAAAATAAAAATGTAAATTTTCACAAGGATATTTGAAAATCATATTATTTTTTTTTTAAATACTATTCGTTACAATTATAAATTGGATCCGTGGATGTCACTCTTGTGAAACGTCCCGCTCTAAACTTTGTGTCTGAGAAGCGATATTTTTATAGAAAGATGATCTGGCTTTTGTTTTCTGCTCGAATGAATGTTTTTCTGTTAGAATTTTGTTCCTGCGTACAAAAAAATGAACTTGTTTCACCCGTGGTCTCTGCTTTTTGGAATTTTTCCCGATATAATTTTGTATCTGATAATCAAACATAATACAGCAATATTGTCATCATCATTTTCTGACTAAAAAACAACTTTTAATGCCCAGAACCTGTCAATTTCAATTTTTATTGCCTAAAAATGCGAAAAATATCTCTTCCAGATTTTTCTCTATGTCCTGTTAAAACACGTTTTACATGTACATTAGGTCAGCTGATATTACCTAACTCCCATCTTCACCGCTAGAGGCGCTGCTTGCGAGCGAAAAGGCAAATTTGCAACGCAATTTGCAAATAACTCGAAGAATATTCTGGATAGAGACCTGAAATTTTCACTATAAGTTTTTCCAGATTCTACTCTATATACTGTTAAAATTTCAGTCAGATTAGTTACGTATTGTGGACGTGTATAGCCGACATAGATACCCACATACATACATACATACATACATACACTGACTTTTATATATATAGGGATTGCTCTTGTTTATACTTTTAATACTTTCTACCATTTTTGATTACTTTTCCCTCTTGGACTCCTATACCAGAAATAACGATTATTTCTAACCTTAGGGATGAAGTATGAAAGGATGAATTGTGATGAGTAATGATAAACGGAAAAATAAAGTGTCTAGGGATGGAAATCGAACCCACAGTGTTCCGCGTACCGGGCAGATGCCATGTCCACTAGACTACCCTGGACATATTTTTCGGTTCGTTATTTCTCCTTAAAATAAATTTCGATTTTTCGTTCAAAATAAACACATGCGGAATAATTTTCAAATTATAAAGGACTGCGGCGTGTGATTATAAACAATACTTAAAATTATACCGCATAAGTTTCTTTTCTATGAAAAATCAATATTTATTTTAAAGAGAAATATTTACTATTTCTAACTTTTTTTGAATAAAGTATGAGAGGGTGAAAATATGAAGAGTAATGGCGAACGGGAAAAATAAAAGTGTCCAGGGGCGGGAATCGAACCCACAACCTTCTGCTTACCGGGCAGGTGCCATGTCCACTAGGCTACCCTGGACGTTATTTCTCCTTTCGTAAATAATACTTAAAGTAACTTATAATACATTATAAAGGACTGCGGCGTGTGATTATAAACAATACTTAAAATTATACCGCATAAGTTTCTTTTCTATGAAAAATCAATATTTATTTTAAAGAGAAATATTTACTATTTCTAACTTTTTTTGAATGAAGCATGAGAGGGTGAAAATATGAAGAGTAATGGCGTTGTGGGTTCGATTCCCGCCCCTGGACACTTTTATTTTTCCCGTTCGCCATTACTCTTCATATTTTCACCCTCTCATACTTCATTCAAAAAAAGTTAGAAATAGTAAATAATTCTCTTTAAAATAAATATTGATTTTTCATAGAAAAGAAACTTATGCGGTATAATTTTAAGTATTGTTAATAATTTTCAAATGTCGTTTTATACTCCTATACCAGTGGATGTAATACGAAATGTCTTAATAAAAAACTTTGCTGTTGTTGAAATGGAATTCAAAATTTGTTCTTTACCATACCACCTACCCTTTAGGTCGTCCTCTATCCATATATTATAGCGTTGCAAAGAGGATTGGCTGGTTGTCACAATAAAGAAAAAAAGTTTTATTTACTAGCAGCTTGCACAAGAAAGCAAATTTTGACTATCTTTTGAGCCAGAGATGACAAAACAACAGAAAAAAAAAGTCTCTCATAACTTTTATGATAATATTTTCTATCATATTACCATTAAAGTACTATTACTTTTTTTCCTGTGTGTATCCTACAATTCTGCTTGGAGAATCTGTATAACACTAAAAGGTCTTAATAAAGCTTTTTGTTGCTGTTGATAATATTTTCTATGAATAATAGATCGATTTGCTTAAACAATTATTGAATATTTATTTTTAGAAACGAAATCATTTAGCACGACTAAAACAAAGCCTCTCTACTGTCTTTACTGCAATAAAATATTGGGAGGGCCTGGCTCATCAGTAGTGTGAACGCCTGCAGCGATTTGACCAATTTAATCCACCATTCAGTGTATATTGTATCGTCTGCTTATATATCTGGTATTCTAGAGGCCTCCACAGCGTCGGGTATATAAGCAAAATGGTTCAATAAAATACGTATTAGAGCTCTAAAATTTGAATACATAAATTTTTATTTAATTAAAAAGGCATATATTGGATCAAAATATCATTTATTTTACCTATATTTCAGTTGGCTGAACGCCAACCTTTATCAAGATATTATAACATATTAATATGTTATAATGCCTTGATAAAGGTTGGCGTTCAGTTAACTGAAATATTGGTAAAATGAATGATATTTTGATCCAATATATGCCTTTTTAATTAAAGATTTATTTATGGATTTCTCTATTTTCAAAAATAAATTTGTATATTTATGTATATTTATTCATTTTTCGAAAGCCTTTATAACAGATTTTATATATTTGTGTTTCGTATATTTACACAATTACCTTGTTTAAATATACATATAGTTAATAATATATATATGTACTTTATAATTATATTCACATTTATTGTGTTTAAGTATACACACACAGAGAATTTCCAATATATAAATGTATTTGACTATTTATCTTTCCCGCTTTTCTCTCAAATTCCCGCCATATCTACTAGGCCTAAGTGATAAGGAAGAGAATGTCACCATCGTCTGATTAGATTGTCCAGGGCACAATGTCGTTTGGTTGATATCTCAAACAGAAGACAACTGGGGCACAACCGCGTTTTCTCTCTTCTGCTTACAATATACGACAGCTTTCATAATAAAAATAACGTTTTTATGTTTTAAATATTAAAGTAATATTGTTACGGTAGAAAAGACAAATATTCCAAAGGTTTAAGATAAAAATAATTTATTAACAAAAAATCTATAGAATTCAAAACGTGATAATAATTTTACAAGTGATAATCTACAAGCATGATAAGGAGTAATGACGTAGCTAAATATTTATGGTGATAAACTGACAACAGAGTATTTACAATAATTATTCTGTGACACTATTCTATATATAGATAATGCATGCATATATATATATATTAAGAAAAAGGCATCTCCTTATCGTGCAATTGAAAGTTGCTGATGACTTGCGCCATCTATCGGAATAAATATCAACTATCCGTTGATTTTTAATTATTCCAGAATTGACCAAATACCCATTCTTGATTAATCAAGAAAAGCTAACCACGTACGCGTTTCGGGCTGTTGGCCCTCATCAGCGTGGTGCAAGCTGTACCTCAACGACCAAAAAAACGGGTCATTCAGGCATCCTGAAAAATCATGAAACGGGTAGTTATATTACGGGTATTATGTGTGTAATATAGCCAAAAATACTTTTAAAAAAGAATAGTTATTCTTTCATTATGATGCATTAGAGCGCCATCTGTTATCAAAATTAGAAACTATTATAGACACGTATGATTCTTAAGTATCGAGAAAGTCAGAGTGTATTCCATTTAATTAAAATTAATATATGGAAAGTCGGTGGAAGGATAGTCTAAACCGTTGGTTTTGGACCGCTACGACCCGTGTTCGATTCCAGCATTGGGCACTTTTTTTCTAATAAAAAAAAAAAATGCTCCAATGGCCACTGATTCTCTCAAAAGTCCAACCGCCCACCAACTAGTGCAAGTATCCAAACGGGGCTCTGGAACATTTGTAAGTGCAAAGTCGAATTGCTTTTCACTTTTGTAGACATGTGGTGTACTTACAGCAAAAGCAGTCGCCTACCTCTACCCACCATGATTATCATGACCTGTATCACGTGCACTAGGGATAAGCAAAAAATAATATATACCAGGATGCTTTCATTTAACGACTTCCGATTTTTACCGAAAGTTTTTCACATTAGTCCCAACTAAAATACATTAAAAGTGAACCCCTATTTAGCGTTTGGTTTGCTAAAATTCTACTGTTGATTCTAAATCCTCAATATCTTCTGAAAATCAATTATTTTACATATTAGATCATAGGTAAATCATAACTAATGTTTATAATAGGAATTTAATGAAATGAGAAACTATTTTGTAGAACAAAATTTTCGTTTATAAATATAACGCCTTTTTACTGCCTTCTTACACACACGCGCACACACACACACACACGAACGCACGTACGCACGCACACTGCGAAGAATAATATTAAGAGGGCCTGGCTCATCAGTAGCGAACCCTCCTAGCAGTTTTACCAGTTTATATAAGATTGCCACGTGTGGAAAATTAGAGAAGACAAACTTCAGCTTCACAGAAATTTATTTAAGGCAAGAACAATTTATATTTGATAATATACAAGAAATGAGGGAAGTTTACAGAGAAGCAAAATATAAACAACAATTTTGATACTCGGTTAATAAAATAATAAATACTTTGCTACAATATTCCAGACCGCCCCCCTCATGATAGTATAATAATTGAGCGAGGAGTAGCACTTTGTATTTCCATTTCTCCTCTTCTCAAATCTTATGTCCACAGAGTTCCTTAAATTCCTCTACCAAGAATCCCACAACAGTGTCGCTGGATATTTATCAGCCCAACACAATAGTAGAACGCCCAGGTAGATTAAATTGGCGAAAATATTTGGTCGTTGAGGTACAGCTTGCACCACGCTGACGAGGGCCAAAAGCCCGAAACGCGTACATGGTTAGCTTTTCTTGATTAATCAAGAAATGGTATTTGGCCAATTCTGGAATAATTAAAAATCAACGGTTAGGTGATATATATTCCGATAGATGGCGCAAGCCATCAGCAACTTTTATTTGCACGATCAGGAGATGCCTTTTTCTTAATTTATCCACCTGATTCAAGTACAAATTCAATTTTGAACTATTTTTCACATATCTATGTATTTTGTAACAATATTGAATTCAAAAACGAAATAATTTATTGTTTAATTTAATTTAATTATTCAATGAAATATTTGGAAACAGATTTATTATATTTTATATTTGAAAAATCATCATTTAGTTGCCTAGCTTGCTTGCTCTATATTCTCTAGCTGTAGATAGTTTGGTTGGTTTGTTAATAATTGTCGACTAGTCGCCGTGACGTCATCAATAAATACTTTCACACCTTCAGATATACAAAGACTTGATTTCTACGCTACAACTGGTGGAGAGACTGGGCCGATGCCCATTAAGAAATAAAAGGAAAATTGATTCTGTTGAACCAGAAGAAACTTCTATGAATGTAAAGACGGAGGCGGATACCCAGGTAAGCAACTATTTTGTTCAACATCTGCCAAGGAACCCTTCCATTTTCTCCGGGGAGGGCGGTGAAGATCTCCAAAAATGGTTAAAAGGGTATGAACGTGTGGCTAAATACAACCATTGAGACGAGTCTTACTAAAGTCTATTTTTATCTGTCTGGAACTGATCTCAAATGGTTTGAGAACAACGAAGAAAGCATACAGACTTGGAGGGAATTCACATCTCAATTAGAGAATTTGTTCGAATAAAAAGAAAATTCAAAATTGCAAGCGGAGAAGAAACTTAAAACACGGGCGCAATTAAAAGGTGAAAGTACCGATTTTTACATCCAGGATACCCTGTGCTTGTGCATGAAATGAGTGAGGAAGATAAAATCTCCCACCTCATGAAGGGGATAGCTAAGGAGCTTTATCAAGACCTCTTACCGAGGGATGTACAGAGCACCGAGCAATTCATTACAGAATGTCGCCGT